TCCATCCATCCATCCATCCATTTTACCATCCATCCGTCCGTCCGTCCGTCCATCCATCCATCCATCTACTTAATGTCCATACATGCTTCATTATTCAATATCATACTAATTATTGATGTCTTCAATATTCCTTCAGTTGCTCACAAGTCATTTAAAGTAATCAAGTATGATGTCTCCAAGCAGCCAGTTTCAATCCATTTACCAGTCTCCAGATTCTTGGCAGGTTAGTTTTATGCTCAACTGATACTAGTCGTTACTACTTTGGTGTGTTGAGTACAACAAGTGAGTTTTGAGCGAAGTACAATTCAAGTCAAACATCAAACTTCACATGAGGTTTTTTTTTATTTGACTCATTTGAAGTTCAATGTTTGTATTCACACTTAAACTCCATGTCAAAAAGTTTGGAAACTGTACTGAAATTTTGGATGTTAGAGTGAATTTAGAATTTTTTGTTGAACAATTGCTGTCACCTTAATTAGATAAGTTATTCTTCACTCATTCTCTGGTAAAGTAAACCCCCAGAATTGCATGGCATTRTATTACTTTGGCACATATTTACTATTTTAGGTGACGTCAACTGCATAATTATCTAATGTAGATGAATTAATCTAACTATTCAACAGTGTGACTAATTGTCAAAGCAAAATCTAGAACTTGATAAAAAGGTCATTATTATTCGTTTCATCGATAAGAATTTGTAACATTTACAATGTGAATAATGATATTATATATATACATTACTGCTGTGGTGATAGGTCTTTTACTGGGATGTCATAAACATGATGGCAAATTTGATGAACTCTTTAGTTTTGAGTCTAAGGTAGGTGATAAATTCAAAAACATTTTCAAATGGCTCACCACCATGATTGGGAAAGATCAAAGCTTACAGCTATTATCAATGATAAAGATCATTTCAACTTCTATGAGCCTAATAATGCATTTAAAACTGCTGGGTGGATGTCGTAAGGCCTAACAGGTTTTGGTAACCCAATCCAAAAGACTGCCAAGATCGAATTAGGAATTAGAAGTTGGTTTTAGCGAAGGGAAGAAAAATACGACCCCAGAGAAAAAACCCTCGAAGCACAGGAGAGAACCAATAGTATACCCATCGCTAGGACCTTGAAAAGGGAGGTTCGTTTTTCTACCAATCTTAGTTATACCATTTCTTGAAAAACTAAAATAGTGTTAAACTTGAAGGTGAAGAAGGGGGGGTTTGTTCGAACCACCCCTAGCGATGGGCCTGAACAACACTGAGACCAGCGGGACTTGAACCGGGGTTGCATTGATGAGAGGCACTGCGTAAGCAGACCATGCCACCCATAAAACCCCACCCTTGCTTCCCGTAAACCTGTGCATCAACGTACCTGTAAACTGCATTTTAATAAAATAATATGTAACTGAATACATTATTGTTAGGATGATGGACTTAAACTTTTCCTCATGGAGTATTCATTACGTGCACTTGTTATGGTGGCCCAGGTGCATGCTGGGACGTGGAGAAGAAATGGATATGCAATTATGAACCAGGTTAGTCGTCATGGTTACTAATATCATTTCTTTTTGCACTGGGCATAAACAGACCTCTTTACCTTGTTCATAATTGGTCTCCCACCCATCACTTATCATCTAGAGAGTCTTGTTCTGATTGGTTGCTACTTACATATATTGCAGGTGTTCCATTATCAGAATATCAAGTGTCGAACAGAGATGTATGACAAAGATATAATCATGATGCAGGTAGGGAATACAACACAGAGTTTTACTCAAAGAAATTTAAGAAAACACACAGAGTGCCATAAATCTCCAGGATACACATGGACTTGGGAAACTTTACCCACTAACCCCTTGTTTAAAAACAGTGTAACTTTGGAATACTCAGATAGTGAAATGTAGGCTGGGGGCTTCCCCTGCTGTAAATCCAACAGGTCGGGTCGTTGGTTCGAGCACTGCCATCGCCACTTGTGAATTGAGTTTGTTTGATGTGTTGTTCTCTTCTGTACCATGGGGTTTTCTCTGAGTTCTCCTGTTCTACTCCCTACATGAAAATCAACATGTGAGTTGACAGCTGTGTGAATAGCAACATTATTTATTTGAGGGTAAAATGGTATATATAATACTAATAAACTTGTGGCCCATTCTAGACCTCTGCTGCATACATGGACAGCGATCACTTCCTGGTCAATCTGATGGATAAGTTTGGTGTTCTAGAATGGGCGCAGTAAGTTACAACATATTTTAACAACAACATACGATGATCAATATTTTTTATTCTAGACATTTCACAGGATTGATTGATTGATTGAGTGAGTGAGTGAGTGAGTGAGTGAGTGAGTGAGTGATTGTCTTTTTTGATCTTTAGTGTCATATTTTTTCACCATAGTAATAGTAATAAATGCATTTTCTCCTTTCTTGATTATTTGCTCGTATATTTAGGTTTAAAATTATTTCTCCTTTGTTATGAAGAATCTTGATAAAAATGGTATCATTGCTTCTTGCAGGCCAACATTTGACGAATCAAAAGTTGATGGGGTAAGAGCTTTATAGAGTTCCCTTCTTGAAATCACAATTAAATTATCTTCTCTCTCTTCAATTCTTTAATTAATCAATTAATCACAGTTAATTCAGTTCAAAAGATGATTTTTTTCAATTGTATCACTTCATAGGATAAAATAAATCACAAGCTTGTAGTTGCAGAAGAGTGGCTTTCTCTCATAATTGCAATCATAGGTAAATAATGTCACCTGCCCACTAAAAGATACTTAAGAATATTTATAAAGTAATAATAAAAAGGTAAATTATACTGACATTTTGAACGCTAGTCCTTCGCTGACGGTGTATTTTACCTTTTTATCATTACTGTTTCATTAGAAACACAGACACCACTCACACTAGTTTTTAGCTAGTTATCTCTTAATATTTATAAAGTCACGGGGAAGGAAGCGATGCATAGTTACGTCACAGGAACTATTACCTTCATGTGATATGGTAATTTTTATTTGTAGCCAAAATTGGTTTTCTGTTATGATTAAGATTAATTTTCTGCTGTTCCATATTTTCACCCAGGTGAACGATATATCCCAGGTATTGGTAAAGTGACCTCAGATGATTTCTTCCGCCGAGAGATTATCCATAATTTGTGCATTAAACCTATGGCGCACAGTGAACTGGTCAAAGCCCTGCCACTGCCGGATTTTGTGGTTGAGAATGAACATAGTGTTGATCACATCATATCATCTGTAGCCACTTTCAAGTGAGTTTCCAAGTTTCCATACCAAAAAATACTCCAATTTTGAACTGTCAGTTGCTTTGGGTTAGCCTTAATTTTGTGTAGAATATTTATGTGGTCCAGTGAAGGTCTGTGGATTGTCAAAAGGGTTTGTGTTGTTGAAATTGTGATGATGAAATGAGGCTTATGCTGAGTAAATGAATCTGGAATCAAGGAAGTTGAAAAGGGTCTATTTCTATATCAAGTATAGAGCTATGAGATAAATATTGAATATTTATGATTAAGTGAATGAATGTCTGGGTGGGTGTCTTAGTGGTGGGTTGGCAAGTGAGTATAAAGAAGTGAATGGATGGATGGGTGGAGGAAGGAAGGGAGGGAGGAAGGGAGGGAGGGGTGGAGGGATGGGTGGATGAGTGGATGGTACCATGGGTGGCGGTGCTGGTTTAGGTGCCTTAGGATCATAGCCTCGCCGAATCTGTGCTGATGATCCAGAAAGGGAGGGAGGGAGGGGTGGAGGGATGGGGGGATTAAAAAGCTATGTATCAGTAGATTTGAAATTTAGTATTAATAATCGATGTAATAGGACGTTTGCACGATGGCGTCATTGACCTCTACTACCAGACTCCCTTGCACGCTTTCTTTTGTTCAGTTAATTAGCACCAATTGTCTTANTGGATGGATGGATGGTTGGATGGATGGTTGGATGGATAGGATCGATGGATGCATGAATGAATAGTATGGGAGAGTAGTCAGTCTCAATATAGCAATACACTAGAATGTAAACAAATAATAAGACACTTAACCTTCCATTCTTTCATCCAAGAAAACCGGGTGTGACTGGGCGTGGTCTGTACGAGTTAAAGGAGGAATACTACAAGGAGTACAACCCATTCTTCTATCACTACAGTAGGATTGAGCAATCCAAGGTTTCCAAGCACAAGTTATCTAATTAAAAGTTATTCTCCATAATGCATTTTATCTTATCTACTTAAACTTAAAAATAATTTCAATTTTAAAGATTATTTATTTATTTTTAGGCAGAAGAACAGCACAGAAAGAGAATGAAGAAGAACAAGAATCTTGGTGGTAAATATTTCTAGCTTCAAAAAACTTTTAAATTTAATTTCAATTTTATTTTTTATAAAAACTTAGATTTCTATATTTTATAACAAGTCTACAGACAGCATGTTTGATCTTTTCTATTTCCAATTTAATGTGAGAGTTGAGGCTCCAGGAATAACATCAGTGTCCACCTGTTGCCTGACCTCAAGAAGTAGAACTTGTTTCTACTTCTGTGATGTAATTGGCAATATCGCACTCAACAGTGGCATGGTTGGACACTGTTGAAAATTCTCCATTGCAAGCGATGTCACACTATGTACTTTAATGTGGTCCTGTTTAATTTGTTTCAGCATGCTCCCACTTCTGCCGACAGAGTTTTGTCATCCATTTGATAACATGTCGCACCACGTGTCTTAATGTGGCCCTGTTTTTTTTGTTTTAGCATGCCCTCCACTTCTGCCGCCAGAGTTTTGTCATACATTTGCTAACATTCTTAACCTGCTGAGCTCCAAGGTGTTGATCAGGACTTTAGGTACCATCATAACTAGAGCAGCTACAGGAACATCAAAAACAGTCAATCATACCCATATACAACAGGTAAGAGTCAGTCAGTGTAAATTGTTTCATTTTTTGGCAATAACAGCAGCTGTAAAACCTCAGCAGCCCAATGGTTTGGATGTTTTTAATACCTTTTACAGGGCTTTCAGAATAATTTCTCATCTACCAGATATACTGCTGTTTCAAAGTTAACCACAGGCTACTTTTCATTTTGTATAAATTACCTTCTGTTCCTTGTATCAGATCACAGTCAGCTTTCTTATTATGACCATCTACTCCAAAACATTCTGATGGTGCTGCTTTTAGTGTTTTTTCTTTTTAATGGTTTGACGTGCACTTCTTGATTTTCCTGTTGTTTTATCACAGGCACTTCATCTGATATGCTTAGGACTCCTGGAAGCTCAAAGACACAGGGAAAGTGGACAGCAATCTACCAAATTTGGCTTTATTGAATTAGCAACAACAAAAATTAAATATGGTAAATAAATGATGAATGAATGATAAATCAGTATTGTGACTTTTATTTAGACTTTATTTATTTTTGTACATGAATTAACAAGTTTACATCATGATTTATGGAAAATCACTCTTAAAAATCACAGGAGAAAGAAAGAAAACAAATATGATGATTACAAAGTAACATGAATGAATTAAGTGTGCAGTGGTGGTCAAAGTAGTATAAACGTTAGAGTTAACCATGTTAACCACAATGCAGCATTTCCTTCGTATTCCCATACAGCCTCACATTCAAGACAATTTTGAGAAGGGTCCATTATTTCAGTCATGAATACTTATTTCGTTTGTGTTTTCATCAGGACCGCAAGAAACCCTTTTGAAGCTGTTAGAAGGTCTCCATGACAACCCGCATTTACAGGAGCATGCGTCTTTGGTTGAGTGGATCTTGAAGGTGAGACATGATGATGATGATGATGATGTTCATGATGATGGTATTGATGATGATATTGATGGTAATGTTAATCATGATGGTGATGATGTTGATGTTGATGATGATGGTGACGATGATGATGGTGATGATGATAATGATGATGGTGATGATGATAATGATGTTGATGATGTTGATGAAGTTGATCATGATGTTGATCATGATGTTGATGAAGTTGATCATGATGTTGATCATGATGTTGATCATGATGATGAGCACAGGTTGGGTCGAAGATGATAATAATATTAGTGTTACTTTCGTTAAGATGACAATAATAAACTTCTTGATTGTTCTACAGAAATTCCATACTGAGCTAGATGCACTAGAAGAGAGAGATTCAGAGCAGAGGCTGTCGGCGAGACTATCCAAGAAAGAATCCACCACTCTAGTAGAAGATGAAAAGGCAAGGAAAGCTCGTCTGGCACAAGAAAAGCGTAACAAAATCATGGCTCAGATGTCTGCATTACAAAAAGCCTTCATTAGGGAGAACGCTGAGTTACTGGCATCAATGGAAACTGATCGGTGAGACTACATTTATTTCTTACTACAGATAGTCRTACCTCTAAGAAGACACCTTTGGTACCTTGCTGGTGTCTGCTGAGTAGAGGTGTCCTCTGAATAGAGAATCATTTACCATAAGGCTGCATTCATAATGTATGGCAGAGGGGAAGGGGGGGGGCAGGTGAAAATTTGAAATGTTCAAAATAATTCTTAACACCCCCCCCCTTAAAGTCATGCAAAAAATATGATCCCCCCTAAGCAAGGCTTGTAGTTTCTTCCAAAAWTTSTGCATCCCCCCCATTTTTCTGATAAAAATTTKCCCATCCCCCCTTTTTTCCTACCAAAATTTTCCTGATCCCCCCTCAATCACCTGCCCCCCCCCCCCCCCTGCCATACATTATGAACGCAGCCTAACTATATAGGAAGGACATTTTGAGACCCAATCCACTATCAATTTAATAAAGGGACATTTTTACACCCCCTACCAGAGAAAGTTCCACAGAGAATAAGCAGAATGCTCTTCCACGCCTTGGAAATTCCTATCCTGCTCTGTAAGGGATATTTTTTGAACTAAAAAAATGCAAAGAATATTGTTTTTAATCCTTTCTTTAGGCAAAGTCCATGAGGAAACAAGGGGAACCAGGGCCCATTTGAAGTCCCCCCCCCCCCCCCCCCCCCCCCCCCCCCCCCCATCTCCCACACACACACATATACTACATTCATACTTCGTTCAACTCACATCTTAATTTTTATGGAGGAAGGAAAACCTGGAAAAAACCCTCTTGGCAAAGGCGATTAAACAACTGCAGGGCTTGAACAGGGGTGAAAGGAGATGGATTAGCAACATACGCCACCCATGCCACCCAAAAATAATAGAATAAATGTTTCTTTTGCAGTTCAATAGATAATAACACTACTCACACTGATAGTGCATCATCATCCAGCACAAGTTTTCCAGTAGTACTGGGACATCACCGTAACTACAAAGATCCCAAAGCCAATCGTTTCCCATTAGAACCTTGTATTCTCTGCCAAGAACAACAGGAAGTCAGCACAGAGGGCCGAGCGATTGTCATGGCTGCATTTGTACAACGCTCAACTGTGCTCTCCAAGGCACGAGGCAAGATGTTTGAAAATGGAGAAGAGTTTGATCCTCTTTACCCCCCAGCGGACATGTTCTGGGGTCTTCATACTAGTAGTTGTGGTCATATAATGCACAGTGATTGCTGGCAAGGGTTCTTTGATTCGGTGATTGCTAAGGAAAGGAGAGCTCTAAGACTAAGGCAGTTCATCAGTGTTGATGTGAACCGAAGAGAGTTTCTCTGTCCTCTGTGTGGATGTATCTGTAACACAGTACTTCCTATTATTCCTTCATTGGCATCTGAAAAACATGAAAGGTAGATCACTAAGTAAAAATGCTTGCCTCTGTGAATAAAAATTAACTGTCTAACCTGACTACCTGCTATCAATTTTTCCTTCCTTCCTTCCATCCATCCATCCCTTCCATCTGACATCTATCCCTTCCATCCATCCCTTCCATCCATCCCTTCCATCCATCCCTTCCATCCATCCCTTCCATCCATCCCTTTCATCCATCCCTTCCATCCATCCATCCATTTATCCATCCATTTATCCATCTGTAACTGCTTCCCAGTAGTTTTGGGCTTCCTTTGGTATGTCATTATGGGCTGTCGAGATATGTGCTCTTCAGTCCAGGAGCGAGTTTTGACGAGAAGACATTTGGAAGAATAAAGGAGTTGTTTTTTGTTGTTTTTTCTCACCTTTGTCATCCCTGTCGGGGCCTCCTGGCCTCAGTTCTGGTTGGGTTCACACCCTGAATGACTCGGGAGCAGTCATACCATCCATCCATCCATCCATCCATCCCTTCCATCCATCCATCCATTCCTTCCATCCATCCATTTATCCATTCCACCCTATCCCACTTATGATTACATCCATCCCTTACCACCCATAGCTGTATTCTTCCTATCCAATCCAATCCATTCTAACTTATCCCATGATCTCATTTACATCTGCATCCATTCTTTCCCATCCCAATCATCCTATCCATACATCTCATCATCCCAACTTAAGTACAGYTTCTTTGCTTTCGGTCTGAGTTATTGATTTTCCCATTCCCATTCTCATTTTTCATGTTTTCATTTCTTTTCATCCAGCCCCGTAGATGAGGTAACACTACAGGAATACCTCAGTAGCATGCAGGATGTTGTCATGTCAAACCTTGCTACCTTCACAACTCAGCCAGAGGAAGAAGTGAAAAAAGGTTTTTTGTTTTCCTAAAATTATGATCTTTTCTTCTTCTGTCTAATTGGCGACTCTTAAGTGCATGCAGGCTTAGCCTTGAATCCAGGAGCTGCTCGTTTTGTTTTCTAATTTCTGCTTTTGTTTACCGACATCAGAAGTGATGCTAAGCCTGCATACACTGGAGTTTTGAGAATCTTCAATAAATTATAGTTAGGGCAAGGAGCCATTCACATATGGTCAGGGGCTTCTACTGATGGAATTTTTTTTTTGATATTGTAGAACAAGTCAACCCACCATCTTTTACAGAAAAATTTCAAGCTTTTATTCAAGCTTTCACTCGACCTGGGTAAGTTTTTTATTTTCTAAGATGCTCTACTTGTAAGATTAGAAACTTTATAAAATGTTTAATAAACTGCTTTGACTACATTTATGGCGAAGAGAGTGATACACCTATTTCAAAACATTTTTCGGCCTGAATTCTGAAATCTGAAATCTGAGACATATCGCCAGCTCAAGTCCTCATTCAAACAAAGAATCGTATTCTCAAGAGATTGCCACTTGGTCAGAAATGGGAAAACATTACGCCCAATGTAAGGAGGTAAGGTAAGGGCATTTGTTTTGGTTCCAGATTTCAGATCTCAGATCTCCAACTGGCAAAGTTGTTTGAAACAGGTATAGTCATAAACCATTTTCTTTTCAGCTCCAAGTTTTCTGCCACACTTAAAGACATGATGAAAGTCTTTTCTGAGGCTGCATTTACTGTAAGTACCATTCTTAACAGAACTGTAAAATAGTGACACAAACTTTCTAGATATATTAATTAGTTTTTCCATAATGGAAATCGTTCTCAGCTAAACACCATTGAACAATTTTTAGGTTGGTTTAGGGGTTGATCCAAATGAAGAAGATGTGCGTGTTCCTGTCATGATGTGGACTGCCTGTGCCTATACCATACAAAGCGGAGGTGAGATATTAATTGAGGACTTCTTATCAGCCTCTGGCATAATGTTTGTAATGGCAAGGAGACTGGTAGAGAGATTTCACTTGTGGCCTATAAAAATATTAGTAACTTTGCATTAAACATGTTATTAAACATATTTCGTTTCAAAATCTTGTTTTTTTTGTAGAAAGTGCTATGAGAGCAGAGAACAAGCCTCTTTTTCATGGTTTAACGTCAAGGCAGGTGAGTACTCAGTCCAGGTCACGACTGCTTGAAAATGTTTGCAACGTCAAGTTGAATAACAGGGTAATTGTGCACTAAAGCATTTGAACTTATGTCAGTTGACATTCAGCCTACTATTGTCCAATTATCAATAGTGATCACTGATTGGCTGAACGTCAGCCAAGTGTCTATCGATGTGTTTCACACATTGATTTGCAAAGATATAGACATGCCAAATGATTGATTGCCTTTCTGTCTGTCTGTCTGATTGATTGATTGATTGATTGATTGATTGATTGATTAAATGACTGATGGATTGATTGACTGACTGATTGATTGTCTGATTGATTGTCTGATTGATTTCCAGTCACAATGCATAGGAGCTTTAACAAGACTTGCTGCTGTTACTACAGGAACATCTGATTCAAAGACAATAAAGAAACACTGTCTAAAATTGTTAGCAGGTACATTAATAAAGACAACTTGTTTGTTTGTTTGTTTGTCTGTTTGTTTGTTTGTTTTTTGTTAAATAAAAGATCAAAGTAAAATTTATGACAACTTTGAGAGCTTGGTGGGACATTTGAATTATAGCAAATGAACAAGAATAATGATGATAACAATGATGTTGATGATGATGATGTTATTTGAGGATAATGATGATGTTAATGATGATGACAATGATGATGTTATTTGAGGATGATGACAATGATGATGATGATAATGATGATGATGTTATTTGAGAATGATGATGATGATGATGATGTTATTTGAGAATGATGATGATGATGATGATCATAATGATGATGATGTTATTTGAGAATGATGATGATGATGATGATGTTATTTGAGAATGATGATGATGATGATGATGTTATTTGAGAATGATGATGATGATGATGAAGTCATTTGAGGATGATGATGATGTTGATGATGATGCAGTTTCAAGCAAGTTGGCATATGAACACAAGGCTCCAATTCTTTCTTTCTCTTTCTTTCCATGTTCTAGTTTTGACACCAGATACAATACCAAATGAAGAAAGCCCATCTTTATTGGATTTGGATATCTTCAGTCTCATGGTAAGCAGAAATCTCAGGCTCGGTGCTTATTGGTAAATAATTGTTAAATATCAGATCAATATTTGAATTTATTTGAATTATGTTTATTATTTTCTTGTTTGTGCTTACAGATCAAATTACGTTTGTCCATGCCGAGTCTACAGTACCAGGAAAGTCAGAAAGGGAAGCCCCAACAGGCTGGCAACACCTCACCGGGATCTTCCATGAACACAGTGCTTGGCCTTGAAAACTCTTCATCAATGGATATCTGTTCTTTCCAGATGTGTTTTGCTGCTCATCTTGTGAAGACCTTACTTACTACTTCTCCAGAGCTGGACTCTAACGGTAGGAAATAATGATAAGTCATTGTTTCTACCACCTGCCATCTCTGAATATTTCCAATTGTATCTCTTGGGAAAGCTTGCAAACTTTAGTTCAGAGTTATTTGCAAAATAGACCATTCTTGATGAGTGCTCAGCTGCTAACTCTTACTCTCAATGACTGAACTGAAATTTTTGGTGATGATGATGATGGTGGTGAGGATGTTGATGATGATGATGATACATGGCAATGATGATGATGATGAGGGTGAGAGGGATAATCTTGATCCTAATGGTGGTGGTTCTAGTGAGTTTTTACAAGTCATTGATTGCCATATTGTTTACAGAACAAGAAGAAGGTAGTTCTACTGAGCAAACAAGAGACAATGATGAAGCGATGAAGATGGCTTGGCTGTGGGGTAAACTGAGACACTGGGCAGGGTACGTTCTTCAATGCCACCTATTTTCATAATCACCCAACCTAGACAACATCTGAGTTTTTGGCTTCCGTCAATTAAAAAAACTAATTCCGACTTTTGGAAATACACTGACCCTGCATTTATTGTTCTACCATCCTAGTTACTGTTGCTATGTCGGACTACCTAAATGCGTTTTTTAATATACAGCATGGAATAGACACTGATTGCTGAAAATGTTAAATATCTGTCTTAGAATCAATACATTCTAGAGGTACATTACGAAAAAAATCAATAACTACTAAAATGTCTTGTGAAATCGAGTTTGTTGGTCAGACATTCTGTATTCCACTGGGAAAACTACCCATTGTTTGGGTGGACAGTCAAGAATGGCCAGAATCCATCTATTTGATGGAAGTCAAAAGCCCATTTGTTATAATACATGCGGTCTAAGCTGCATAATTATTAAAATGGATGTAAATATGATATGGAAACCATTTTGAGTTGTAAAGCATCCTTTTTTCATTTATTACAGCCTACAGTCTTCTGCACCTCATGTTGCTCCATTAAAGCTACAGCATCACGTTAAAACAATGCTCCTACCATTTCTTCGATGTTCTGCATTGTTTTTCCACTTTCTCACAGAAATCCAAGGACCTTCTTGCTTGAAAGGTAACATTTGCAGAATAGAGCAGCTGGAATGATGGTGGAGGTGATGGGGGTGGTGGAGAAGGTAATTGTAGTGATGATGACCATGGTTAGGGATGATGATGATGATGAATAAGAGGTTGGTGCTAATGATGACAGTGATGGTGAAGGTCATGATGGGTGCTAATTACCATGCCCAGGGATGATGATCGATATCATTGCCATATATGAGAATGATGATGGTGGTGGTGGTGGTGATGATGGCAATGATGGTGATGATGGTTATGACATTCTATGCATTGTTATTCTATAAAACAGAGCCTTGTACCAGCCAAGAAGAGTGGGATGCACTCTGTCACTATCTATCAGTTCCAAAGTGTCTAGTAGATATCTTACAGTGGAATCAAGATGCCCATAATATTAGCTCATCTGTGATATCCCTGGCTGCCAAAAGGTACTCAAGCAAACTATGACAACCTACCAACACCCAACTGACAACGTACCAACTACTTGCTGACTTCCTAATAACGACAATTTACTGACTTATTGACAACCTAAAAACACCCTACTAACAACATACCAACACCCTACTGACCACCTACAAACACCCTACTGACAGCCTACCAACACCCTACTGACCACCTACAAACACCCTACTGACAACCTACAAGCACCCTACTGACAACCTACCAACACCCTACTGACAGCCTACCAACACCCTACTGACCACCTACCAACACYCTACTGACACCCTACCAACACCCTAATGACAACCTACCAACACGCTACTGACACCCTACCAACATCCTACTGACAACCTACCAACATCCTTCTACACCCAACTGACAATCTACCAACACTCTACTGACTCCCTACCAACACCCTGCCCACACCCTGCCCACATATTTTAGGGTCACATTAAATTTTATTATCTTTGATATTTAGATGGTGCAGCCATGATTTTGTCAAGAAAACCCTGGCACATGCTGGTGTTGAACCATTGGGGTAGGTGCAAATTTTTAAATATATGCTACTCTCAACCTCCCATCCTCTGGAATGATCTAGATATGTTATCTTATAGGCAGATGTCACCTTGTAATAACGATGGCTGTCGTAATTAATAATATATTCTTTTGTAAGGTATTCTATTACTCCAAACCACCTGTTGAATCTCCCAAGAGACTACAGTGAGCTGATCAACAGAGCTTCATTATTCACGTAAGTATGATCCCTAACAATAAGCCTGACTCAAGGTCAAATTGTCGTTATTGTTGGATTGGGTACCCTGATAAGGGATTTTGCTTTCTGGCCCATGGACTACTAGTTTAACCTTATTTGACAGGGGCGGCGAAACCGTGGGGGGGGGGGGGGGGGGGGGGGGAGGGCACGAAATTTGTGATGAAATATAAATGCATAGATTCGATAGTTTTACGGCGCATGCGTCTGCAATCAAACAAAACAGCGGTCATTATCACCTAGCGTTAAATATAATATTTCAGTGCCCCCCAAAGATTTTCCAAAATTTGAAAAAACCCACTAAACGGCCTCAAATCGCGCTGAAACTTCGCCAGAAGACTGAACAAAGTAAAAGCAACAACTGCAGCAGGTTTTGAGGCAAATTGTTGAATGAAACATTTTATTTTCGTAACTTTATTATAACTCCTATACATTCCCTTATAAACCATACACAGGAACCTTGTTTGTGCTACCTGCGGGTTCTATAGTCAAATTCCTATTCAATCTGGAGTCAAATGTTTTAGTCATTAGCCACTAGCTCAGTAGACTAACCAATCTCTCTTGGCTTTGTTTTTTAATGCCATAGTTGTCCGAACTCTGAGGGTGATGAAAGCCGTGCCCCTGTCTTGTGTTTGGTCTGTGGTGAGATGCTGTGTTCCCAGAGTTACTGCTGTCAAACTGAAGTCAGCGGAGATAAAGTTGGTGCATGCGCAGCACATGCCCAGCTCTGTGGTGCAGGGATTGGCATATTCCTGCGCGTTCGTGAATGTCAAATGCTACTAATGGCTAGTCGTACTAAAGGTAGCTTTTATCCTGCTCCTTATTTGGATACATATGGAGAAACAGATCACGGACTAAGGTAAGGAACTGTCTTAACTTGACTTTAGCAATTAAATAATAGTTTGAACGGTATAGGCTACAATAGAGACAAAGAGACGTGGTGACCTAGTGTGTTGAAAAGGTCACGAGTTACAGGTGTAATATGAATGGTACTCGCAGTTAATTGGCTAACTTGTCAAAATGTTGTGGTAACTTCCAGGGACTCACGCTCTTGATTTGCAGACGTCACCTTTACTTTCCCACACTCCATTTTTGCCCATGGGTGGAAAAAAACTGCCCTTCCCATCCCGCCTCATGAATATGTATTTCAGGGTTCGTGCTACTCCTTAAACTCCTTGAAAACTCCTTGAATTTAATTCACATTTTCAAGGGCACTTGAAAAGCTCTTGAATTATACGATGTTAGCGAAACTCCTTGAAAACTTGCATGGTTCTGAAATAGATCTAGTCAGAAATATTGGAAAATCTGAAAGTTGGCCATGTGGAACCACCGTGTAAAACCTTGGCATAGTTAGCTGAACATACTCCTTGAAAATTGAAAACTGAATTTTGGGTCCTTGTGTACTTCTTGAATAGTCCTTGAATTTTAAGTGGTTACCTCAGCACGAACCCTGGTATTTCCTAGACTAGTTATGAACCTTTTTCTTTTGTTTAGGAGAGGAAACCCGCTTTATTTGTGTCCTGAACGATACAACAAGCTGCAAAAGCTGTGGTTGAATCATGGGATTGCTGAAGAAGTTGCACACTCGTTGGAATCCAATAGAAACCTTCTCTCCATTGATTGGACGATTCTGTAGCCTGTCTTTTGATTGGACAGTTCTGTAACTTGATGTTCATTGGACAATTTTGTAATCTACGATCCCTTTGCATTCAAAATGGAATCTTCCGTATTTGCATGGGTGTAGTAGTTTCAGGAACCATCTAGGACTCCCCTAGAGAAAAACGTGAATTTGCATAGTTACAGATATATTGCATACTTCCAGAAATTATCCATACCTCCCACACAAAGAAGAGCTAAAATTTCCAAGAGGTGTAGATGGTCAAAGGAGGATATATTGCATATTTCTAGTTCTTTCACAGTTTTATCCATATCTCCTAAAAGCGGAGTGGAATTGCCATGAAATTCAGAAAGTCTAAGTTCCAATATCCTGTTACTTTCTTTATGAATCTCCTCGGTACTGGCATGGATCATTTCTGGGACTACTAGCCTGAAATCAAAAACGATATATAAAAGCCAAATGGTAAAGCATGAAATATGCAAGAAAGCGATCACAGTTCGTCTAAGGAAAGGTGGCGTGCTGGTGTGATGTAATGCAATTCTTGTGAAAAAATAAAGGTCAAGTTAAGCAAATAATGGGCAATTTAATTAACATGGGCACCTCATATTGACACTCGGTGTTCCGTTATCTCCCACATCCCTCTCAACTAGATTATTTACTTAAGAAATAAAACAGCTTTTTTCCGTGCTCCATTCAGTACACGAAAGAAGTGTAAGGAGAAGCACGAGCTGTAGGCGCCTGTTTTATTATATAGTTACTAATTATATTTCGGTATTGAATTTATTTACGCAAAACGAAACGAGAAAGTTGCAGGATCTTGCAAAACTTCGCGCGCGCGGATGGCGTCAGCACTGTACTCCGTTCACAAACAAACTCACAGTTTTCGACCAATCAGCGCGCGTGTACTATCCTAAATATGTTCAAAACCATTCATCACTGTCACTATCATCATCTTGTTCATCTTCACTAAGCGCTAGCCCAAGATCCCCTACTAAAGCATGACTCTCCTCTACAAAGTGTTCCTGTTTTGGAAAGCTATTGACGTTAGCTGCAGCAATGTCTGATGCAGTAGCCTTTGGAAGCTCTTGGATGAAGTACTTCTTTACCTGTAGGCAACAAAGCCTGTAACCTGCAATGTTGAAATTTAAACGAAAATTCTGTACTTTCTCCCAGACGTTGGCATGGCTGTTGTACCATGCCGCTTTGCAGTAGATCTCAGGAGATCCTGTGATCGCTATGATTTCATTGTTAAGTGTCACTACTGATTGATTAGTGTGTAGTAAATCTGGAAGTGGTGGAATGGTACTCCACTCCTTAGTAGAAGGATCATAAGACTCGCAATTCGAAATGCGATCAAATGCGTTGTCATACCCACCCAAGACATACACCTTGTCGTGCACAAAAATGACATTTCCAAATAGCCTGCGAGTTTTCATTGGTGGGAGGAAGCTCCAAGAGTTTGTACTTGGGTCGTACTGTTCAACAGTGGTAGTCCCGACAACCTGATCCGTGCTTCCACCAATAGCAAGTATGCAATTTGTAGTTGAGATTGCAGCTAATTGCGACCTTGGAATGCATAACGGAGCAACGAGACTCCACGTGGAAGAAACTGAATCATAACATTCCACACTTCCTACTGCTCCACTCATCCAACCACCAACCACATATATCTTCTGATCATGTGCAACTACGGCTATGTCCCTACGAACTTCCCTAAACGATGGTTTCCGTACCCACCCTGCATGCAATCCCGAATCTGTCCTTTCAACCTCGAATGGAAAAACCCTTAAGCTATTCACGGGATCGTAATTAATATTTCTCTGACTTTCCCCTCCCAGGATATACAGCTTTTTGTCGACCACAACTGTGTTGGGAAAGGCTTGTATCGTAGGTAGATTGGGTAAAATGTAAGTGTCGCCATCCTCTGTGTCGTAACAAAATGCTCTGTAACATTTCCCGGTACCGATGCCAACCAGAACGTTGTGTACCTTGGTTGATGGTCTCTCACGGTATAAACTAATAGTCAAGTCATTTTGTTTTTCCTTGTCATTGCACTTGTTAAAGATAATGCTCCTGTACACCCCATCATGAAGAAGAGGTTCGTTCTCAAGCTCTTCATTCCAGAAATCCGATGATATGGCCTTCAAATTCAGCCGCTTAATCAAAACTGGCAATTGCTTAGACCTGGAATTAACGTCATGCTTGACCCATTTGATTGCAGCATAATATACTTGTATTTCTTCTAGAACACGAATATCTTGATTGCTCATAAGTTCACACAACTCCTTCAGTGAAAGTTCCAAAAACTCCTTACTTTTCTTGACAATACGTAGAAAGTTTTTCTTCATAAAATCCTCTACCCTTTCTAAGAGCTCCTCTGTGTTGTACTCCATAGCTAAACGTTTAGTGCTAAAACAGTTTTCGAGTGAAATCTTTGATAAAAGTATCTCAATGCAAGTCTTCTTCAAAGGTTCAAGTAAAAGGAAGCTTGAAGCTTCGAGTATGTCCACAATTATATCGTCTGTCAGGCGAATTTCCTGGGTATAAAAGAAGTCTAGGATGTTTTCCATAGCTACACATGATAAAGATGGAAGTCTTAGGATCTTTTCTTTGGATTCTCTCATTCCACTATTCAACATCGTGTAAAAAAACTGACTATTTGCAGCCAAAACACAACGATGCACCCAAAAATGTCTCCCTTCTGTCTCCAAAACAACGTCACAAAAACCACTCTCTCCTTCATTCCTAAACTTATTTAAGGTTGGAAGTAGATTCAAAGAGCGTTTGTATTCGCAAGCTCCCATATTTAACAACATTTCGTTGTCCAAATCGTCAAAGAAGCTTCGTTCAAGTTCGTCCGCCATTTTGGATGAAGCAATTGATAGTATAAAACCCAACCTATGATTGGCTAAGAGATTATCCAATTACGACTAAGCTTATATTCTAAAAAAATGGCGGTCAAAACAAATCAACTCGAAAAACAGCGGAATTTTTTTTACGGCTAAATTTTCCTCAATTTTCAAAAAATCTGCCTTTTTTCGATTTTAGCGTGTATATYTTATTTATATTTTATTATAATGTATAAATTTGTAAATAGAGATGAAGGCAGTTCAGTTTATACAGCTGTTGGTGAAATATTGCTTGGTCGTCATGGAGGCCAGTGGGCTCGTGTTGCCAAGGACAGCGAAAGATTCAACCTTATTCTCGCGGAAAGAAATCGTCCGCCATATACAAGACTTGGTAATTAAACATTATCATAGCTTATACTGTTGATTTTTATATTTATATTGTTATGTTGCATGATGTCGATGAAATTTGATGGTGATTTGCATGGATAAAACAGCACCCTCTTTGATCTTGAATGAACTGTCTTTGTTCTTTGTTCTTTCGTCTGTGTTCAAGGGCATCACCCTGGCCTTACCCAAGCTATTAACTATTACAGAGGTTCTTCGAAGTTACTTTGTCGAAAAGCTTCCTTAGTTCGGTAAGTGTTTTTCTATGTACGGTCGATGTTGTCGTATGAAAGGATTGGAATGGAATGGAATCAAGAACCATGCTGGATTGCACGGAATCTGACTTCAAGGTTTTCAGATTCCTGATTCTGAACTCGGGATTCAGGAGTCCAACTACATAGGTTCCCCTCTAGTTTTGGAGCAAAGACTAAGCTCTTTTCATAAAATTTGGTTTAAATTATTTTTTACTGTGTTTTTTGAACTATATTCATGATTAGAATTTATCAAAACATTGTCCATATTTTTGTTGTCTTCCTATTCAGTACAGTAAGATCAATAAGCGAAGCAAACGGCTTGTCCCCATACAGATGGATGCCATTAACCTTCATTATAGTACCAACCAATATGACTAAATCAATGGAGAATGAGAAGACGAAGCGATCAACATCTTGTAAGGACGAAAGAGAACTTTTCCTGGAGACCTTCAAATCGTGGGAACCCTGTGGAAAAAATATATGGATCGGGAAATCAACGGCAGGCGCGAAGGGTATGTTGTCATGACAACTGAGAATTTTCTAGAGTTTTTAACCCAAATAGGTTTTGTTTCACTTCGTTTGTTTCAGTCCTAGTTTGTAAATCATGTAACATCAGTGCTGTTATATTTTGAATATCTTTCGATAGGAGAAAATATTTTTCTAACTTCCGAAGCAAACGAAATGTTAAAGTTGATTGATGGAGAAAGACAAGCTTATGTTGTACAAAAATACATCGAGGATCCTTTACTTCTGGACGGTGGAAGAAAGTTTGACGTCAGGTAGTTAAGGTTATCACATATTGACGTCAATCGTGTGTGACGTCACGTCTAATAGCCCTCAAGGTAGATGCGAGTGGGTGGTCGGCAGTTTATGCAGGTTAGGCACTTGTTTGTCGCATAGGGACCCGGGCTGTCGTTTTTTCTAAAAGTCCAAGTGTATAAAAATGTTTTCCCCACCGTGTCATGAATATTTTCATATTTGAAAAGATGTACGTACGCCTCTTTTAACAAGTTGTGAAAATTTTACCCCCTCCCCCGTCAAAAACACCAGACCCCCTGCGACGTAAATATTTTGCTTCCATTATAATGAATCAGTTTTCATTTTTTCCTCGAGGGTCTGGGTGTTGTTGGATCACCTGTACAGTATTCATGTGTTCAGTGAAGGAATACTAAGGACTTCCTCTGAGCCTTACGATGTAGAGAACTTGGCTAACATGACCAGTTATTTGACCAATCACTGTGTGCAGGTAATCCAAACTCGCTCTCTTATTGGCTATCAAGTTTATAAGGGAACCAATCATTGTCACGTATGAGAAAACAGCACCAATTTGGTCAGATACCCTTTGGCGGGAAAGTCACTTGTAAAAATTGTTGGGGGAAAATCACGATCTAGATGTTTAATTCCAAAAAAATATATTACTAGACATATTTAAACGTTCACTTTTTTTCCATGTTAGGAATCTCAATCTCGTAACTTTGGTAAATTCGAAAAAGGAAACGAAATGTTTTTCAGTGAATTTTCAAGGTGAGGAGAATTTTTTTAAAGAAATTTGTTGAATTTTGTTTCAAAAACTGATTCATCTTTATTTTGTGATATTTTATGGGACATTTTGTTCTTTTTCAGTTTTCTTAAAAAACGGTACGATGTAGATTTCAAAGAAAAGATTTTAACTCAGTTTTACGCAATTATCAAGGAGTGTCTTCTGGGAATAAAAGAGGTAGGTCTGCACGAGTCCTCTACGTACATGACGTCACTGGTTGCAACCTCAGACCCAAGATTTCCTCCGCCTAAGAAAATAATTATTTCGGAGTAAATAATTTTTGTTGTTGGAATTCTTAGTATGGAATTCAAAATACAGCTTATTAGAATCCGGAGTCCGTCAATTATCCATTCCAGATTTGTGCCAGAAAGGGTGCGCTACACGACTCTTTCTCAGTTTGCGTCCTTATATTATGAGTGTTTTTGTTTCTTAGGAAATAAGCACTGTTGGATTGTCTTACGACAGTTTCCAGCTGTTTGGCTTTGATTTCATGATTGACAGACAGTTCAAAGTTTGGTTACTGGAAATCAACGGCGCTCCTGCCTCAGCAAGGTATGTTATGCCAAAAGCATATTTTATATCAGGGTCGCACGATGTCACCTGGTGAGCCAATCATGGTGCGCCAACACGCGATTTGTTCCACTTTGTTGCGCGACTAACTCGGCAACGTCACAACTACGGACACCGCCTTTTCCTTATTCCGGTTGGATTATTTCGGTTGACTTTTTTAATTGCCGTTTTAGCGCAACGCAGTAGTTCAATAAGCGCAGAGCCTCTTTACGCTCTACCTCTAATGCAGAGATCTTTATCAGGATCAAGAGAGCGTGAATATTTATGCTCTCTTGTAAGGATATATTTTGAGGTATGGGGAGGAAAGGGAGTTGGGGGGTTTGTGTGTGTGGGAGGGGAGAGAGGAGGGAAACAGTGTCTCCCCAAGGGGGAGGGGATAGAAACGCCCACATGTAGCCTACTCGTACACAGACAAGAACATTAAACCTATGTGTTTTTATCGTTATAGTGATCTGCTCCAATCAATGGCCATTGAGATCGTTGCTACTGCTATTGATCCGATTTTCCCGCCCTCGAGGATCAACAAAGACCAATCAACAGAAACTAATAGTTATATGAATGGCTTTTTTATTAATATAAGTGACGATTAGTTTATAGTTATATATTGTCTTAATTTTTAACACCTGACCAAACTAATTCTAAATTAAACAAACTAAAAAACTAAGCAAAATAAACATTTTTAGAAATTTTAAAATCCTATTTTTTTCTTATCTGTAAGTTGCGGCATACTGTCGTGCCGTTATTATAATGAGCGTTTCTGTTGAATTCCATTCCATTTTACTCGTAGTTATGGCTGCGGAATCCCGTCCCTTTTACTCATCTTGCATCCGTTGAGCCTTCAGACCTGTGGTTGTTCCATGTGACATATATCCTTTCTTCATATTATCAAGACACTTGACTGACTTGGACTCTCTTCTATCTTCTTTTTCATTTCTTACTACCCGCTCAGTTTCTCTCTTTCCTTCTCTTTTCTCTCCTTTCCTGTCTTTACAGAATTTTTTCCTTTAAATTATTCAATCATCGAAAAAAATTCGAATGATTACAGTCAAACCACCTCAAGCGTGAACACGTAGAGGTCATTAATGATTTTATTTTTGGATTCTTGATTTCATTATATATTCGATTCGAACACTCATTACTAAAAACGAATCTTCAAAGCCTAGCATATACAAAAGCCAAGCATATACGCAGCTGAAATCTCAGAGCAATGTACTTTTCACGCCTTCAACACGAAACTCAATATTTGAAAGTGGTAGCTATTTTTCTACTTAAGACTATATTATGAATAAAAATAACTAGTTGTTTACACCTGTTTATTTATAAGCTGTTTCAGTAGCATATTTATTTTGTTTTTTGGTCGTTTTTTTTTTTTTTAAGTTTCTTTCGGTTTCAGGCGCAAAAGATCAACCGTTTTTGGCCCAATTTAGTCCATTTTACAGTATTTGTAAATCGATATTTCATTATCATATCAGCATCACACCTAATCTAATCCAAAACATAGCTAATTAAATGTTTTCTTACTAACGTTTAGATTTGCATTTCTTTCACATATGTGCATTGTCTTATTTTTATTTTTATTTTCCGATTTCACCCAAAGAAATTGCGTGGTCATTAAACCTCATCAGAAGATAACAGCCTCGTTAATAACGAGTGTCGCTCTAAAATACCTCTTGAAATGGCTCGTTTCCAAGCAATCTTCAAACCAGAAAGAATGTGAATCATATTTGATCAGCCATATGGTGCTTTTTTTTCCTCAGATGATCTTTAACTTTAATGGCACTTCCGGTATGCGAGAGGACTTCCTGCCTATCGTGCTTGAATGTGATTGGTAGAGATGTGAGCCACGTGCCAATCAGAGCCCAGGACTTGCTCCCTGTAATATTGAATAAGAAACAGGATCTGGTCTTGTGAGCCCGTCTGCGAAACTTTCTCATATTTCCTTATTTTCGCCGTCTTTTTAGGGGAATATTTCTTCCTTGTAGCATTAAAAACCCTGCTTGCTGGGAGCAATGGATCCTTTAGCAGCTGCTGGAATAGCTGTCGCGTCGACAATTTGTATTTCTGTTATTCTAATTGGATTTTTCTTGTTCCGTGAAGAGAAGTTTGAGGACCACGTCGCTCAGCAAACTGAACAAGAAGCTGCTATTTTCAGTCGCTCGACGTCTGGCAAGGCCACGAAGGGTAAGAAAAAACCTGTGAATAGAAAAAAGAAGCATTCAGAAACTGAAGGAGAGGCGCATCAAAGTGGCCATGATTCAACTCGAAACGCTGAAGTCGGGAAACCACCAGGAGACGAGTCAACTGAAGACAGCAGAACGGAAGAAGGAGGTGAAAAACCGAAGTCCATACTCAAAGAAAAGACAAAAAAAGCAAAAAAGCAAGCTTTAGCTAAAGCAGAAGCTCTAGCTGCTAAGGAAAGGCATACTCGCTTTGAAGACGAGCCTCGAGCAGTAGCCGAAGAGACAGTGTTAGTGGAAGAATCTGTTAAGGTTGAAGCCGCTTTACCAGAGCTGCAAACAGAACCTCCAATTCAGCCAGTCGTAGAAGAAAAACCCCTACAAACCCAACAAGAAGCAGAACTAAATGCCGAGCCTCAACCACCAAAGAAAACTAAAAACAAGAACAAGGGAAATAAAGAAAAGCCCCAAACCTCTACCATTACTGGTACGTGCATTGAGTAAAAATAAATCTAGTATTTTAGTGTACAAAATCACACCGTTATTCACAGAGGTAGTTTCTAGGCTTGGCTGGGTTTTTTCTACTTTTTTTTCGTTTTATTGGTAATTATTCATCCAATTGTTCGTTATGTATTTACCTGTGGTTTTAAATTTCCCCCGAGATTCGGTATTCGTTAATGATAATGAAAGAGTATGCTGTTAGATACGCGCAACGTGGCAGAGTAAAATGATCTTCCAGCGACTTTGGATTCAAAATATCTAGAAAAAAATCAAAACCTCTCATACTACACCCGGCATTTTTTGAAAAATTCCAGCGATTCAATGAAAACTTGGATGAATTTTTACCGCAGAAAAATTTCTAAAACAAAAGATTTTCGTAGTAAAATTATTGTTAGCAATATTTCTATTGATATCAATTATTTATCTAAAATGTAGTATAAATCTCGGGAATATGGGGGCATTTATGTTCATTAATTTTGATCAAGATTTAAAATTTCTGATTTAATCGAAGAAGATCCCCATTTTGAATTTTGTGGTTGGATTATAAAAATTATTTAAAGTACATATATTGGTACATGTGAATTCGAAATTCTATATTGTTTTATATTTGATTACATTACTACTGTTGTCTTTTTTTTATGGAAATATGATTTGCATTTTTATTTTTTCTGGAATTATTGAGATTTTAAAAACCCACACACGTCATTCGTTGCCTATAGCAACATTCTTTCATTGTCACYTTTTGAATTATAGTTGTCATTTGTGATGAGTATATAAATGTTAATTACTTAGAAATGTGTACTAAGTCACTACTTATGCTTTTTTTTTATCCTTTGTTTTTTTTGTTGTTTTTTTTTGTAAATACCATTGGTTAGAACAAAAAATATGATCTAAGGAATTCTCAAAAACTATTAGAGTAGAAGCCAATCTAGGTATTAACCAACAGATAAGATTGCTATACAACCAATCACTAGCCAAAGATAAAATCTTGCTACAGTTCTGGAGCCATGGTCAAGTGCTACTTAATGCATAAGTGCTTAGAATAATTTAACTAGCAGTCTAAAGTTTAGACAAATGACAGCTATCCAAGCACTCATCTCAAATGCGAGATTTACCATGTGTAAATCATTTTTAACTCGTGGATACTTGAGCATAGAAACGAGTTATTTCTGGTTAATATGGACATTGTTAGGTAATAAACATTCTTATATTAATAAGTTAGCAACATTGTCATACCTATTTTTTGACCTTTAGGTGAAGTAAATGGGAAGAATGTACTGAATATTGTGAAAACAGCAAACCTTAACTCCACTGAAGTGCAAGATCTTATTGATATTCTTCTTAACAAACAAGGAGAAAATGATCAATGGAAGGTAATTAATGATTAGAAAACACTTCACTTCTCATTATGTAGTTACTCCACCTATTAGACCCAATCTTAGTACAGGCAGTACACCATAAAGGGACTCTAACGCTAACTTGGGATACACCTATTTCAAAAACGATCTAAAATCTGTGACATGAAATGAATTGGGTCTGCGAGCTGTAAATTTAGACATAAAGGAAAGGAATAGTTGTTTTGTCTTTTAATATGAGTATGCCACCACCTTTGAGTGATGACCTCTGCTGGAAAATTGTGGTAGATTTCAGATCTCCAAATGAAATATGTGTATACTACATAGTTAAATGATTATTTAAAGTTATTTATTCATTTTGCATTTCAGTCCACTTCAAAGAATGACATGACTGAGACATTGAAGAAACAACTGCAAGAAAAAGAACAGCAGATCTTGGAAGGTAAATACAAAAGTCAAATGTGTTTTCTATACTTCAATTTTATGTTAGTAATACCCCATACGTCCAGCCAGAATTTATTCAGCCTCTTCATTGACTTTAAGTTAATCATCCTTATTATCTACTCTTTTCACAAATCTAGCACCCTAGAATTCTAATTTGATCTATGAGTTAGTAGTAACTATGACTGATTGATTTCAAGGTTAATATCAAGGTTCATTAAAATACTTAGAGGCAGTAGTATTAAAAATCAATATTTAATTGGAATTCAATTGTATTATAGAAAAGCAACAGTCCACAAATGCTGCCAACAAGTTGAAGGAGTTAAGGTAGGAGAAAGATAAGACTAAATTGTAGTTAGAAAGAACAGAGATAATTGATTATAGAAATGGAATTTTTCTTTGAATTCACAAATGATATTATATACACTGAATAAGATTTGGCAACTGATTTGAATAATTATTGTTCTGGACTGACTAGCATCTCATACATGTGAAAATGCTAAAAAATTATGTTTCCACGTGAACATGAGGCTAGTTATTCCAGAACAATAGTTATTCAAGTTGGTTGCCATATTTCGATTCAGTGTATATAAACCTTGAATGATGATGGTGGTTACAATGACGGCTATGGTTATGATCAACATGATTGTTAATGATGTGATGATAATGATGATGATGATGAAATATGATGATGATGATAGTGGTTATGATGATGACAATGGTTATGAACATCATGATTGTTGATGATGTGATGAAGATTATTATGATGATGATGTATGAAGATGATGATGGTGGTGGTGATGACTGTAATGGTTATGATCATCATGATTGTTGATGATGTAATGATGATTATTATGATGATGATGTATGACGATGATGATGGTGGTGGTGATGACTGTAATGGTTATGATCATGATTGATGATGATATGATGATGATTATTATTCTGGTGATGATATATGATGATGTTGATGATGATGTTGATGATGGTGATGGTGATGTGATAAAGACAATGGTGATGATTTGTGATGATGATAGTTGAGAAGTACATCAAATCAAGAAAAGCACTTTATAGACACCAATATTATTATTGCTCCTAGAGAGGAGATGCAGCAAGAACGACTGAAGCAGAAAGCTCAATTCACTGCTTCAAACAACAAGATCACAACCCAGGTAACAGAAATCATGTCTGTCAATAATTGACTCAATAAAGCAGATCAAAAACACTGATATTTTATTCCATATAACAGACAAAAGAGCTGCAGGCAATGCAGTCAAGAATGAAAGCTACTCATGACAGCCATACCCAGGAAGTCCAGACATTACAGGCACAGCTGCTGCACTTACAGGAAATGGTCAACTCTTCATCAATGAACAATCTACAGAGACTTCAGGAGGTAGAGCAGCTCTAGTAGTATCAAAATTATAGAAAAATTTGTTGGCCTTAAATTATAATAAATATAACAGGGTTGGAACTCCTCCAGGATACCTGGTAAACTCCTGGAATTTCAAAATTTTCTTTCAGGACCCTGGAAAACTCTTTGAAAATTTTATTTTTGACACCAACTCCTGGAAAACTCCTTGATATTTCTATTAGTATTAGGTTAAATATTGGACAAATAAAATTAAAAATGAAAGTGTTTTCTTTCAACACTTAGTAAAAATCTGTTTCACTATTTCTGACGTGAAATTTCAAAGTTAAAGGTCCTGGTATTCTTATATTCATATTTCTGGAAAAATCCTGAAATGGTATAATCTCTTAGTAGTATGAACCCTGATATAAAGAGAAAGGGAGTTAAAATRCTGGGGCCAGGAGGGTGCATATAATAGGTGGGTGTAAAGTAAATTTTTTATCAGGGCTTCTGTAGTACTGGTGATTCCAATTTAATAGYCTAATTTCAATGGGAGGAGATGTGGAAGAATGTGTTTCATTTCTTACTTGACTGATCCAAAAATAATAAAATAATGATACGTTTGTATATCAGGAAAATGTACAGCTAAAGAATGCTTCCATGAGAGCCTCACAACTGTAAGTATCTGATCATTCTTGAAACTAGATTATATTATTACTAGGTTATAGAGTTGGCCTTTATTTAACCAAGTCAAGTGGTTTGTTTTATCAAAATTGTTAGACTACACTCCTTAAGGGAATAACACATGAAAAAACATTACACCACAGTTAACTGGGTTTATTTTGGCTACCTGGAAATTTTGGTTTCATCATCTCGAAGAATAACATGTCTAGACCACCAAGAATTTAACGTGTGTGATATTCTTCAAAACTTATTTAGATTCTGTATGTGTCCTTCCATCCATTCATTCAGCAATGAATCAGTCCACCCATCCATCTTCCTATTCCTTTCATCCATCCATCCATCCATCGTTCATTCTTTCACTTTTTACTTTTCCATTCACAGCACTGCTGACAAGGAGTCCCTAACTGCCGAGCTACATAAACTCCAACAGAGTCATCGTCAGGTCAAGACTGATTTAAATGCTAGAATTCATCAACTACAGCAGTTTGAGGCCCAGCGTCAAGTCTTTGAGAAACAGATTCATGACAGTAAGGTGCAACACGCGGCACAGGTAAACTATTGGTTGTCTAAGTTATTTGATATTGGCTCAGTTGGTTAAAGTGCCTATCACCCTTTCAACATTATGCTTAGTATTGATTCTACATGCCAGGATAAGATGATGAATGAACCAAAACCATTTCAGGCAGAGATATATTAAATTTGAAACACATCATTGTTTTACCCATTGCTCTAATAGAAATTATTGCAAGTAAATATTCACATACAAGCCGCTGTTTTGGATTACAAGGAGCAACAAATAAAAAATAAATGCCTCCTTATCTGTCACAGGATTAGCAAATGGCATGTAAAAACCTTTATAACTTAATGAAGCCACACTCGTACTATGCAATTGTTTTTTATCATTGACATCTTGCATTGTTGAATCAATTTTGAGAATATTTTCTGAAGGGTGATATGCACTTTAAGCATTTCTTCATTAGTACCATGGCCTACATCAAAATCTTTTTATTTTTAGCAAGAAGCTGAGAAGGTTATTTCTAAGCGCCTTGGAGAAGTCACTGAGGAGCTTAAGAAATCAGAGGCCAGAGAAGCCAAGGTCACTAAAGCTATGGAGGAGCAAGAAAAGAAATATCAATCCCTTAAGGATCAGCTGAATAAAATAGAAAGTAGCAAGGCAAATGAAACCGACTCCATGAATACTTTAACCAGTAAATTGACCGAAGCGAACACTAGAGTGTCAGAACTGGAGAAGATGTTCACCTCTGTGGAATTCCAGCTAAAGGAATCTCAGGAAACTCAATCCCTCAAAGACAAGGAAATCCAGGTGAGTATTGATTTACTTTAGACCATTTCCTGATTCTGGTGAAAAGTATTTTGTGTTCTAAAAGATTCTTTAGTTCTTGTTGCTATAAGACCCCTTGCATGTCAATCTGGAGGCAAAACAAATGAGTTTCAATCTCCTGAGAAATGGAAGCCTAATGTTATGTCCTCCAAATTGAGCTGCATTCTGGCATGCTACAAGGACATTTTAATCGCTAACCAGAAATCTGTTGCATAATCCTCATAGAGCAAAGTGATGAATTCTAACGTTAAAATGGTTAACACATCAACATCTCAGTAACAATGTTTATAAACATGTCCAACTATTGTTTCTGTTGACAGTGGTGATACAGCTATTGTCATTGCTATTTCTGTTGATAATAGTGGTGTTGGTAATGCTCTTGCTGATGGTGGCATGGTGGTGGTGGTGGTATTAATAATAATACCAGTGTTATTACTTGAATTCTGTCAAACGTTAATACATGCTTCAATGTACATTTCTTCGTAGGAGCTTCAGAATCAACTTAAAGTTGCCCAAGAGAAGCCTGTAGAAAATAGTGCACCATTATCAAATCATGTTGATAAGGTAACTGTCATTCATATGCTAATYATATAATTACCTAAACCCTTTATTAAATACAATGAAAAAATGCCAGATTTTATATTCAAACTGTAGTAGTTCATATTGTTTAGCTCTCAGGGTTTTCAAATTCTTCCACATTTATCCTGCTCAGGTTATACTCCTACCATAACAAAATGCTGACAGTGTTGTTGTTGCTTGTCGTTGTCATGCTTGTTATACACAAGCTTTGAGAATGAGTATATGAATAATTTGTGTGTGGTTCAAGTAGAAAAGCAATATATATATTAATTTATATTTGTCAAATGTTTGTTTCCATAGGAGGATACAGTGAAAACTCCTACAGTATCCATGGATACTCACAATGAATTGTAAGCATTTTCTATTACTTCTTCTCCTTTCTTCTCTACCTAAATCCCCCTCTTGTTTTCTCATTCATCCCTTCTTACCTCCTTTCCCTTCTCCCTCCTTTCCCTTCTCCCTCCTTTCCCTTCTCCCTCCTTTCCCTTCTCCCTCCTTTCCCTTCTCCCTCCNCCTCCTTTCCCTTCTCCCTCCTTTCCCTTCTCCCTCCTTTCCCTTCTCCCTCCTTTCCCTTCTCCCTCCTTTCCCTTCTCCCTCCATTCCCTTCTCCCTCCTCTCCATCCTCTTTCTCTCTCCCTCACTGATTCCTCTGCCCTCTCACCTGTGCCTATGTATTTAATTATGGTTTCTACACTATTTTGAATCCATTTTCATGGCTTGTAATTCATATCTTATATTATTATTATTTAACATTCTTTCTTAGACTTCAAGAAAAGGATTCTCAAATTTCAAAATTGAATGAGGAACTCAACTCTAGAAAAGAAGAGATTGAGAAAATGAAAGAATCTATTGAACAGGAAAAGAAGAAAAATAATGTAAGTAAGAAGCACATTTTTTCTTTTTTCATCTACTTCAAGTGGATGGCAAATGTGAAATTGAAAAAACTGAAAAAAAGTTTAAAAATGAATACTTTCATCTGATTGGTATTTAGTCCAAAAATAACTGTATACTTATTTGATTCTGTATTTTGTACTTCTGTACAAGTCTATCCTTTAATCCTACTTTCCATTTCCCATTATTGCATTTTTCTCATTTCTATTTCCATCCTAAAGATCCATCATTTATTTTTTTAGTTCTTTTATTTGAATTATCCTTTAATCAACCATTTCCCATTCATTTCTATTAACCACTGTCATCATTTTTATTGTGTTGTTTTTTTCATTCATTTCTTTGAACCTTAGCTCATTAACCAACCATTAATTTTTCTCTTTTAATTTTCATATTTTTAATTTTATATTTTTCTATTAACCATTTTTTATTTTTTGAATTAATCTTCAAAACCTGAAGTCACTTGTCAAAAAAATATTTCCCTTTCATTTTCCTGTGTCCCAGTTTTCATATTTTTTCAAAGCCCCAAAACACTTAACAATAGGTGTTCTCTCACTCAGGAACTGCGTGTAAAGAACTGGAAGGCCATGGAGGCCTTATCAGCAACAGAACAATCTGTAAAAACACAAATAACCAAAGCTGTTGAGGCAGCCAAGGTACTTCACCTTTCTGCCACTTTTTTGCCAGAAATTGCACTCATTTTTAATATATTTACTATATAAAACAAACGTAAAGCTGAATTTTGAATTTTGGAATAATGTTTTCAAATGCAAAGTGTAGAGGAAAAACTGTGGAAAAAACGTTGAAATTTTTTTGAGGTGTTAACCATTATTTTTGCTTGTAAACTACTAATGCTAAAACCTTAGTATCTCTTCTCACAATTTCTTCTTTCAATAATAACGCTAGTTCTATAAATTCTTTTATAAGCTATGCCTTTTGTCTTGTAATAACTATTATTGTTGATTATTGTTCTACCTTATTGCTGTAAAAATATATATCACTTATTATCAGGGATTGATTGCATGTTCTTACATTCTTTTGGATGTMTATACAACCATCTGTCACATTCCATTGATTTAATATGAATTTACCTTGCATGATCTGTGGCTTAACATTTTGTGCACATGCTCAACCTGTTTCAAGTAGATTTTTTCATGCCAAATGTGTAACTTCCTTGCTTTACCTAAAGTAAATCTAAGGTCTAAATAAATTAACTGGCATATGATTGTCCCAGTTGATTGTCCTTGTTATCCTATGGTTAATATCTACTTGTACATTTGTCTTCTAGGCTGAAGCATTGACGGAGGCAAATAAGAAAGGGTAAGACCTTATTTTTAGTAACACAAGAGTGTGTACCCTATGATTTGGGTCAAGGGTTCTATTCCTGTGGATGCAAGATGAGAATAAAGTTTCTTTGACGTGTTGTTCTCTCCCTTGCTGTGAAATTGCCCTCATAGTTATACTCCCTCGGCAAAGACTCCCTGTATTTGAGCATCATATAAAACATTGAAACATCTCATCTCAATCTGTGTTTCATTTTTGTTTTAAAGTGCAAATGAACCCTTCGACAATACTTTCAGTACTGATTCTACATGA